GATGTCGTAGTCGTACTTCTCGAGCGCGGACAAGGCGTCATTGCGTCCATAACCCATACCAGTCAGCTTCTTGAGGATAGGGTCGTCATGCTCGGTTCCAGTGCTGATTGCGCGACCAAGCGAGGGCATCTGAGGCGATAATCCCTGAGATTTGGATGAAGAAGCAGCGGCCTCCTCATTGTCGAGAGTGTCAAAGACAGATTTGCCAAAGTCAGTGGATGCTTGCTGCGAGTGCGAGCCCTTGTCGGTTTGCGAAGACTCGAGGTTGGAGAAGATAGCATCCCAGTCCTGGGACGAGGCAGCGGGTTGAGGCTGCTGGGGCTGTCCTCCAAAGGTCTGCGACAGGTGTTCAAAGTCACTGAAGCTGTCATCACCACGAGGCTTGCCGGTGGGAGTCTGCTGAGAAGCCATGGTGTTTGACTTGGAGGCAGCTGGCGAGTCAAACACTGGGTTGAACTCGTCGAGACCTTCACGGTTCTGCGAAGAGAACATGAAGTCGTCATCAGCCCGGTCGTCCTCCTTGGCATCTGCTAGATCATCAAATCCAGCATCGAAGTCATCGTTGAAGGCAGACTTGCCGAGTTGGGGGACGTTGCTGGACGGCGATGGGCCCTTGTTCTCATTGGCACCGTACGATACTGCAGAGTGGTATTGGTCGGATGGGACGGTCGATGATGGAGTATCTAGAGGAGGGGGCGATGTGGTGGCAGACTTGGAAGGGCCACCAAAGAGAGCAGCTCCGTGACCGCCAGGAGGATTGTACGACTTCTCCGGGCCTTGCGCGGTGTCAGGAGACCCTGGCGACGTTGGGTCCTCGCGAGCGGGAAGAAGACCACCGAACTCTGGGGGGAATTGGTTGGATCCACTCCTGGCCTGGTTCACACTAGACTCGTAGGTAGGCGGCGACTTCTGCGCGCTAGGAGAGGGCAAGCCACCGACGTTGGAGTCCAGGCGAGTAGTTGGCGGTGGTGCTCTGTACAGCTCATCACTTGACGCAGTGCCTGGTCGCTGCTGTTGCTGAGAACGCTGCTCTTGTCCCGTGCTAGTGCGCTTCTGGTTTGGCGACGCGGATGTGAAGTTGTCATCGAATCCGCGCTCATCGTTACTGTCGCTGTCATCATCGTGAGCCAGGTCCTCGATCGGAGGGAACTCCTTGTTGAACCTGTTGGAGTTATCCGCGGGTGCGCTTGTGGTGGATGCAGTAGCAGTGTTCTGACGACTAGGGCCGAAGCCAGCGAATGCCGCATCGAAATCATCCTTGCCTCCACGAGGTTGTTCACCGGAGGTGCTGCCGAAGGGGTCGGCGCGGTTGATGTTCCTGTTGGGGGCGCCCAGACTGCTCTCTCCAGTTTGGTTCTGTTGAAGAGGCGTAGCAGCCTCACGTGGGAAAGCACCAGGAATGTCAACACCAGCTGAGGGTGCTCCGAAGTTAGAGAAGGCATCCTTACGGTCCTCAGCCCTGGTTGAGCGCTGAGTATCACTGGTGATACTGGCTACAGGAGATGCTGATGAGAAGTTACGGTTGAACAGAGAAGGGTTAAAGTTGTCGGTTTCTGTGCGGTTGGTTTCAGTTCGCTCTACCGTGGGCTTCTCTGCTATTGGTGTGCTCGCAGGAGATGCCTGGGAGATTGTAGGTGTCTCGTTGCCAGGGCCACCGTATCTGCTGGCAGGAGCAGTAGCTCGCACGGAAGAGCTGAACGAGTCGGATCGCTGTCCGCCTTCCCTTAGGGGCAGGAATGAAGAGCCGAATTGACGCGACTCAGGGGGAGCTGGCGGGTCTGCAGCACGGGGAGATTCCTGGTAAGAGGACAGAGGGGGCGAAGTAGAGGGTGTGGGAACGTCAGGCCCTTCGGAAGAGCGTACTGATTGGCCGGATGGAACAGAGAAGCTGGGACCTTGGCTCTGGTTCTCGGGACGGAAAGAGACGGGAGGTGCTGTGCTTTGAGGAGTGCCGAAGCTACCAAAAACGCTGTCAAAGTCCTTGTGAGGGCCTTCACGTGCGAAGCCAGATGGCGACATGGTGTTCTCTGCAACGGGTTGGGGCGACTTGCGGAAGAATGGGTTCGTGCTCTGGCTTGTAGTGGACGCCGCGGGGCTGACGGCAACGGCGGGGGTCTGGGCCTGTGGACTGCGTGTGCCCTCTTCCTGCGACTTGGTCAAGTCGTTCATTTCGTTCCTAATCTTGTCGCGTTCTCCCTCATTGGTAGCAAGCTGCTTCTTGTTGATAGCAACCATGCCCTTCTGCTGTCGGGCATCGTTCCTCATCTTATCAAGCTGAGGACGCAACTGTCCAATCTCGGTGTTGAGCTGGCGGATGCGATCTTTCAAGCTGTTGTTCTCGCGTTGGTCAGCCTCAAGTTGACCTCCGACCTGGCGGTGCTGATTCTGGAGATCCTGGTAAGAGCCCTCGATCATAGCAAGGTCTTGTTGCAGCTTGCGAGTCTCGTTGCGAGAGGCAGCCAGTCGGTCCTCTAGCGCCTTGACAGCCTTGACTTCCTGGTCGTACTGGGTCTTGAACTGCGAGAGGCGCAGCTCGAGGTCGCGCTTCTGAGTGTTCACACTGTTGAGATCGCCCTCGGTCGCGGTCTTCTTGTTCTGAACTTCCTGCATCTGGTTTCGAAGAGTGGTCATCTGGTTAGACATGTTGGCCAGGTCGGTTGAGTCTTGTGTCAGCTTCTTGTTGATCTCAGCAACATCCTCTCCACCCAACAAATCGTCCATTGCGGATGGTGTGGAGTGTTGTGGCACGCCAGAGGTACCCGATTGGCCTGTAGAATGCGCAGTAAGAGTCTGACCGAATGAAGAGCTAGGCATGAACGGCTTGAAGGTAGAAGCGGGGTTTCGCGGTTGAGGCTGGAATGGGTGAGGAGACGTGGGCGAAGTTGGCTTGCTTCCGAAAGGATCAGCCTCGAATGGCTTGCTGAAGGTAGCAGAGCCGCCTGTCGATTGCGGTTGCTGAGGAGCAGGAGCCGGTGCTGTGAAGGCGTCGAGTCCAAAGAGATCATCTGCAGCTGATTTGGCGGCGCGGGGAACGGGTGGCGCTGGCTGAGGAGCGGCTACTGGTACTGCTTGGTTGGCGGCTGTTCGTAGGCTCGGGGGGATCAGGCTGGGTGGAAGCGTTGCTGGAAGCTGGTCTCCCTTCCGTTGTTGACGGATGAGGTACATTGCGACTGCGAACTCGTCCTTAGACAGCTGACCTTCCGAATTGATGTCTGCGAGGTCCCATATTCCTGCGAGCACATCTTCGGGCAGGCCGGAATCGCTGAAGAAGCGCACTGCCTGGTCTCCAGTAATGAACCCGCGACCCATGGTGTCAACCGTCTTGAAGAGATTGTCGTATGAAGCCTTCTCTTGTGGGCTGATGAGCCAATCGCTGCCGGTCGGTTGGGGTGCTGGAGCCGGTGCTCCAAATGGCGTTCGTCCAAGGGGACTCGATTGCCGTGGCTGGTTTTGCTGACCGCTGAACTGGCGTGGGATGGACATGGATTGATCTGGTCGGCCTGGTGGAGGTGGGAGTTGTCCTCGTCGCGAGGCGGCTTCGTACAGGCCTGGGGGTAGGGCGGTCGGGAGGGCCTTCATGTTGCCAGTTCGGTAGGAAGCGAGCATGTGCATGGCAATGATGAATTCGGTGACGTTCAAAGCGCCGCGCTGCTCCGTGTCGGAGAGGTTCCAGATGCGACCGAGGACTTCGTTGGGTAACCGCGCTTTCTCGAAGATCTCCTTTGCATTCTCGCCTGGAGGTGTTAGAGAGTCGTCCTACGCGCATATCAAGATACATACCAGAGAGCACGCCATTGACGGCTCCAGACTTCTCGAATAGGCCTGCGTATTCAGCAGCCTTGGCGGGTACTAGCGGAGGCACGCGGATGGGGCCGTTGCCGCTCATCTGAGGTTGTATCGAACCGGTGGGTTGTGGAGAGAAGCTCGGGGCGGCGGGAGGAGCGGATGGGATGTTCAAGCCCTCGAACTTGGGCAGGGGCGCAGCTACGAGAGTGTCAGCGCATAGCGATACTAAGAGCGATTGAGGCCGTACGTCTAAAGGCCAGCTCTGGGGCGGGGTCTCTGCCGGCCTGGTAGTGTCCGATGAGGCGCAGGACCTGGCAGAAGCCGGCCATGGTCAGGAGACCACGGTTCTCCGTGTCTGCAATCTGCCATATCTCGCCCAGGACAGCGGGTGCCAACTTGGTGCGCTCGAAGAACTTGACGGCAATCTCGCCTGTTATGACGCCCAGCTTCTCCGTGTCGGCTTGCTGGAAGAGGAACTGGAAGACGCGCTTCTCCTCGGGCGTCAGGTTGAGGACGGGCTGGTCTGCGCCGCGTTAGCTGGGACTCGGGGGGAGTGTATGTGTCAGCACGCACTCAATTCGCCGCTCTGTGCGAGGTCCGCCATGGCTGTGTGGGCTCCGTGGACGGCGCTCGTGGTTGTTAGGCTTCTGCCTGGGTGGATGAGGCTGAAGCTCCCGGCGCTGTCGTGTAATGGAGCGGGGAAGCTTGGGGCGGCCGGGCGGTGGACTGCTGCAGGGCTAGCGGCCGGCGGCTACACGCGAAAAAACACCTTCGAGTAGCGATGGAAAGCCCTTTGGGGTGAAGGGGGCGCGATGGTGGTAGCAATGTTGATGGAGGGTTGGCCTTGGGGAGATGCGCCGGAAGCTTGATCCTAGTGATGCTAGGCGCGAGTTAGTCGTTAGTGCTGCGTCGATGCTCACAACTCGTCTATTGGGCGGGAACACAGCAGCTGTCACGGGCCCAGCCACGCTGTCGATGCATCCCATCCCGCGCTGCCACTCATTTCCATGCACATGGCCGGCCTCCGCATTTCACCCAAGCCCTCGGCCAATCGCACACGCATAATTATTCCGGATGTGTAACCTGACGCACCTGGTCATCAGCGGTGGAGACGCATGTGAAATTGACGCTGCTGTGTGAGGATGGGTGTTGTCATTACTTCGTGATTACAAGTCTTGTACAATAGAGTGGTGAAGGGCCTGTACACCCACGCTTCATCGCCGCTCGCCACGACCCCGACTGTTCTTCTCTCTCCAGCACTTGACAAAAGCCAGACTAGGGCTCACTTCCTCACGCCTGCCCCACGCCCGTCCCAGCAGCCAGTCAGTGACGCTGATGACCTTGGCCGTCCTGTCCCAGTGCTGGCCCTCTTCTGTGTGCTCTATGATGTGATTCAAGATGCGCCCCTCTTCGTCGAACTCAAACTTGAACAGCCCTGTAAACTCCTGATGCGGCCTCTTGGACCCCGCGACGATGCTCGTAATCTTTTCGACTACGTCGCTGACCTGGCCGTTCTCCTTCTCCGACTTGCATGTCTGCCACCGGACTATGAGCTTCTCGTTGCGCACGTTGCTTGTGGTGGATCCTCCATTCTTGACCATGCGCTCAGACAGTATCTTGAGCTTTACATTGCCCAGTACGGGGACTTGGCCCCATGCGACCGGTGCTGTCCATAATGCTGCTGTGTAGGCGTACCTCCCGCTTACGTTGGGTAGGTGAGGGTGCGTCGACGGGAATAGTTGAAGACTGATCTGCGGAGAGAGTATGTCTTGCGGTAGGGGCGATATTAAGAGCGTGGGCAGGCGATCGTGGAGTACTCGGATTGCTGTGTCTGTATTAGCCATCTATTTCTGCTTGCAGAAGGTGCCACCCACTGTTTCCGAGTTTCAAGTTGCGCTCGTTGGAACGCGCCTTCTCGCGCTCATCGGATTCCGGATGGGAGCATGGCGATGAGCTAGTGAACCAGTGCCTTGACACGGATGCCTGTCTCGCGCCGGCGTCGCTGAGGGTCCTCTTGTACTGCTTGAGCCCCAGCAGCCGGGGCGCAGTGAGCGATCTCGCTGTCCTAGTGGGGAGTTGCGTGCGGGCAAACGTGGAGAAGCGCCGCATCAGACCGCTGGTCATCTGTGTGGATAGGGATATGCGACCATAGGTGAAGATGTACTAGGTGTGAAATGGCAATTGCGGAGGATTCGCTGTCTTCATACGCTAGTCGTACGACCGAAAAGCGTGCTCAGGTGGGTCCAACCTCCAAATGCCGGGGTAGGGGTCGTGACGTAAGTTTACCGACCATCGACATCCCGCTGTAGCTACCGTCCTCGCCACGCCTGTTCGCATTGAGATGTCCCGGTGGGACGATCGATCTCCGGATGCACAATGACGCCTATAAAGATGAGGATATCTCTGCTCGACGGTTTCTTGGATGAATTTTCAATCTTGTCTCAGCAGATTCCCTAAAACGCCAGTTAGACCTTTTGTTTACAAAGGGTAAGAACGACCCCGCAGTTACCCCATGTCCAAGCTACCACTAACATATCGAGTATTAGATCGCGAACATACAAGAATATTCTCCAACACCCCAGAGTCTCCACAATGGCACCCTCAGGGAAGCGCATCGTCTTCACCGGCGGCTCAGGAAAGGCTGGACGCCATGTCATCCCAGAACTCATCAAGAAGGGCTACTCGGTACTCAATCTTGACTTGACAGGTACATCCTCGTTTTCTTCGCTGCACTGTTCTATCAATTGACATCAACCAGACTTCCCCGACCCAAACGCCGGAGTCTTCACACTCAAAACCGATCTCACAGACAGTGGCCAGGTCTTCAACGCGCTCACAACCCACTTCAACTTCGCCGGCTATGAAGGTCCTCACGTACCCGGCCCACCAGATGCAGTCATCCACTTCGCAGCCTACGCACGAAACATGCTGGTACCCGATAACGAGTGCTATGCCGGCAACGTGAGGTCCACATACAATGTCATCGAGGCAGCATGCAAGCTTGGCGTAAAGAAGATCATCATCGCCAGCAGCGAAACCACCTACGAAGTGTGCTTCGGCCAAGGAGATCTCGACTACACTGCGTTCCCACTGACTGAAGATATGGACGTGAACCCCATGGACACCTACGCCATCTCAAAACTCTGCGGCGAGCGCGTCGCCCGCGGATTCGCCCGCAGGTTCGACGCCGACATATACGCCCTCCGCATTGGAAACGTCATCGAGCCTCACGAGTACGAGCGCGACTTCCCAAAGTTCATCAAGTCCCCAGAATGCCGCAAGAGGAATGCTTGGGCGTACATTGATGCTCGTGATCTTGGTCAGATTTGCGATCTATGCGTACAGAAGGATGGACTGGGTTTCCAGGTCTTCAACGCAACTAACGATACCATCACTGCCACGTTCCCTACGAAGCAGTTCCTGGAGCAGTATGCGCCGAATACGCCGATTACGAGGGAGATGGATGAGTGGGAGGCGCCGCTGAGTAATCGCAAGATTAGGGATGTTCTTGGATTCAAGGAGGAACACAACTGGCGGAAGTACTACAACCCTGATCAGTAGGCGTGAATTTACTACCATCAACAATACCAAAGACAGGTTCAAGGGTCAAATATCCGAATTTTCGTTTCAGTCCTGTGATACTCATATCGTAATACTCTTACACCACATCTCCTTTTTCCTCCACATCACTCCTTCCATGCTTCTCGCTCACAGCAGCAACAGCATGTCCATCATCCCCACCCACCTTCACCCTCCCAGTATCCCCCTTATGTCCCTGCGTCCCTATCCTCAAAAAGGGAACAAGAAGCAGCCCAGGTACCGATGCCGCGGCCGCAAACCAAAACACCGCCGCAAACGGCTCCGCAGCATTTTTCGCGTAGTAGCCAGACGTAGCAGGACGTCTCTGAACGGCGTCGAATATGGCAGTCGCGGCACCATACGCAATGGCAGTACACAGACGAGTCAGAGTCTGGAACAGCGAACCGGCAATAGACTGTTTGTTCGTAGGCATAGATGAGAGGACGTACATCTACTCGTGATCAGCGTCAAGAAACACTTACAAGACGCAAGGAAACTGGAAGGGAGAGAAACTTACATTAGCGACAATAAACTGGAAATCGACCCCAATAACGCAAAGACACAGTGCGGGGAAAGAAAACGCCCAATACGAGTCTCCGTACCTCTGCACGGCAGAGAGGGTAAACGAGACAGTTAGTGCGGCGGCACCGATGCCCACGAGCAGTTTGTTTGAGACTTTGTGTTGGACGAGGGCGGCGACAGCGTTGGCAGATAGTCCTACGATTACCATGGGGAGCATGTGTACGCCTGTCATAAGGGCGTTGTAGTTGAGTTGGGTTTGGAAGTAAAGTGCAATCCAGAAGGAGAAGATGGGGAAGCCGAGGAAGCCGCAGGAGAGGATGGCTAGGAGCTGGGGTTGGTGGATGTGTTAGTGGGTTCTATTGAATGTCTTCTGATGGTGGTGGTGGAGATGGGGAGTGGAAGGAGGACTTACAAGGGAAAAGTCCCGGTCATACCAGATCTTCATGTCGATCATAGCGTATGGGTATTTAATCTCCCATACGACAAATGCCGCGATTAGAATAAGACCTAGGATCAGTAGGACAAGAACATACGGTGTCTTCCACCCTTGCGGTGCATCGCCTCCGAGACTACACCATAATCAGTTTGACATCCTCTCAACCCTAGAGAAAGAACATACCTCAGAGCCGCACAAAACATCCCAATCCCCAGCACCGTCAACCCCGTCCCCGGCAAATCCAACCTCTTAACCGTCTCGGCATCCAACTTCCTCTTGGGCGTCCCATCCCTAGGCACCGTAAACGCCGCAACAATACTAGTCACAAAATACACAATAGCGAGTAACCAAAACCCCGCTCTCCAACTAAACACCTGCGTAAACAACCCCGACAAGATGGTCCCAAAAACAAAGCCCATGGGGTTACCCGCGCTGAAACAGCCAAAAGCGCGGTTCTTCCTTCGGCTGGGCAATTCGTAAATAGCGCCGAGCATACCTTGGGCTGGTGGCACGGAGGAGGCTGAGAAGATGCCTAGCACGCCGCAGAGGATATCCAAAGTCATGCCCGAGGTGGAGAAACCGGCGCCGAGGCAGAAGACGGAAAAGAGGAACATGGAGGCTATGAACATGGTCTTGCGACCGAATAGGTCGGCTACGCTGCCGAAGAAGAGGAGAAGGGATCCTGCTGTAAGCCTATATGCTCACAATTCAGTATTTTGATCTAACTGTGAACTTGAGGCGAAGAGGAAAGCTTACGATGTCGCTGCATTCATCCATGTGATTTCCGCATTCGTCATGTTTAAATCCCGTGCAGCGAAGGAACTCATGACTGTGATCGACCCGGTCAGGAAGCTCGTCATGGCCACGGCCATGGTCACCGAGGCGATGAACATGCATTCTTGGAAGGTCGATGTGAAGCATTCTGGTCGCGCGTTGGGGTCCTTGTCGTTGATTGGCCGGTCATGATTCGAGAGGGAAGCGGCGACTTCGGCGTCTGCGTCTGCAGCGTCCGCCCCCATTTCGTTTCGAACTGCTGAATGGAAAGTTGAAGAAAGCGCAAAGAGCAATTGATAGAAAAGATGCTATGTGAGTTTCGAATTGATGAGACAGGGATCTGGTAAGCAATGATCGAAATGCGCCGATTGTGGAATTATTCAGCGCGCGGAATTCATCCATGAGGCCGCGCTTGTTGCATAATGTCTAGCCGCTATTTAGGCAAGTGATGGCTGCACTATTCCCGGCTTGCATATATGCGCAGTTACGGACTCAGAGAAACACCGATGTCAAGGTCCGCGGAGTATGTTGAATTGCACTAGAAATAAGATGGTAGGCGCATAGAGAGTGTGAGAGTGAAGAAGATGGATATCGTGGTAAACGTACATTATCTTACAGCTTAATTACTTTCCACTCACCTAATTGCATTCTTCCTAGTTGACCGCCCAATGGTCCTTGTACCTCTCGCCCGTTGGCCCAGAGCTTCTTGCCTGCCCAATGCTCGATGAATCCATCTGGGCCTGATACTATGATCAACCTTGAGCCGCTCTCTGCTCGTTGCCTTTGTATCTTCTTCTCGATTTCGGTCGGCTGTATGAATGTCTTCTCGTCGTCGACGTAGTAGTTGACACGGAGGCCCTCGCCCTTCGTGGCTTCGCTCCGCTTCTTGAGTGCATCCAGTTCCCTCACTATAATGCCCTTGGGCGCGGTAGATGAGTCCTCTGCAAGTGGTGCAGCTGCAACAGACTCGCTGGAACCGAAGAAGCTCTGCCACCAGCCTACTCGATCTAGTGCAGATGTGGTACTGCCTCTGTCGTCGCTGACGCCACCTACACATTCTTCACGCCGCCTATTCGCCCATAGTATGTGCATCCGGCTTCCAGTCCTTCTTCCTAGGGCTTGCGCAACCTGCATCGCGGGTGCTATACCGGTCCCGCCTGCCAGGAAGACAACCTCAATGATATCGCGCGGAAGCTCAAGTTCGGTGTTCGGTCCTCGTAGCTCGACGGTGGATTGTTCGGGTAGTCGGTGCAGGTAGGTCGAGACCTCGCCTCCCTGTTCTTGCCGTATGAGCAGCCTCATATCCTCAGGCTCATTCTCGCCGTTCTTATGGACGTCTGGTGGCAAAGGCGGCAGCGGTGTGTATGCGCGCGCAATCTGTAGCTGTGGCTGCTTAATCTGGACACTCCAGATGCTGCGCTTCCACACCTCCTTCACACTTTCCGTATCTGAGACGCCATTGCTATTGCGCAATGTGAATATTGCGCTGGTCGACGAGACGGGCTGCTTGTCTACAAGCGTGTACGGCGTGAAGGTATGCGGGTTCAACGATGCGTCGGAGGGGTCGGCAGATTTCGTGAAGCGATAGGCAGCGCCGCCAATGGCTGAGGTCCCGAGTACTATCAAGGGCCCTGCTCGCCGTTTGAGCCAGGACATGGCGTCTATAGGGCTTGGCCGTCTTCAATAAGATGTCGTGGTCTCGCGCCGTGGGAGCGCAGCGAAAGAATCTCGACATGACGACATGGCCCAAGCGCGATGCCCGCTCTAGCATGCCGAGGCGTGACCACGTCCGATGCCATCATTGCCTAAAGTG